GTGACTCTGAGGACGGCACACTGTTCTTCCGATCTTCACAGACTTCCAGATTGGTTTTATATTATAAAGCTTGTGCTCTAATTTGGATAAAGGAATGGATAGTTTTAGAAAATGATAGAATATTTAAACTAGAAGGACATGATTTAAACCTAGGATAGCACACCTTCCTATGTTATCAAAAAGACATTAAACAATTTAAGAACCATCTGATAAGGAAAGCTTTAAACTGGGCATGGACCAAGATCCAGGAAGAAAATCACCAAAAAGTTCCTGAATGGGTCTCAACAATGGAAGCATTTACACAACCAGTATTAATGGAAAATAATAAACTCTTGAGACATAGAGATTTGTTAAATAGGACTTAAGTGTGAAACGAAGGGAAGAACTAGAAGAACAAGGTACAATATAATAAACTTTTGAGACATAGAGATTTGTTAAGTAGGACTTAAGTTTGAAACTAAGGAAGAACTAGAAGAACAAGGTACAATACTTGATTGATGGACAAAAACACAAATAGATTCAAGATATACAAGAGATAAAGATTAGGCTTTTGTAAGGAACAGACACCACTAGATAAGATACTTCTGAATATAAAGAAAAAACTGATTAAAGTGTTGTATAATTATCTACTAGAATATTCAGGATTTTATTTGCATATGGAACATAAAATTAATGTAGAAATAAAGCTTGTAAAACTAGACATGCTGATGTTGCCTGGAATTATCACAACACAAGACACATAAAAATTCCAACAGAACATAAAACTACTGTATGCCAAAAACCCAGAGTAATTTTGGAAGGCACAAAGAGTAGCGGAAGAGAGGTAGAAAACTTCAAAAGGTTGTCTGATTTAATTCTGGAATTAACCTTTTTTTGGGATGCCAACTGTGATGAACACTGGCTTCTGATATTTCCCTAGAAATTTATAACATTCTGTAGGGATCTTGGGGAAATAAATGTTCAGGTGTCAGACTGATCTGGCAACTTTATGGTAAAGTCATTTCAGCTGGGTTAACCCAACACACTGCTGTGCTATTTTCCAATATAACTGAAAAGCAATCTCATTTACCAATTGCTTCTATTCACTTTTACCTTGTTTTACATCCTCCCCCCATTTTGTAAACAATGATTATTCCTCTTCTGTAGTGCACAGTTTCATTGCAGTTTCATATGGTTGTCTTGGCCTTCCAGTGCACATTTTGTATTGGGATGTTATGATAGTTGTATTATTTTAAGTACTGGGTAAGTCAGAAAAGCTAGATTTAGAAATGAAGAATTGGGAGTTATCTGGACAAAAATATCATTTCCCTCCCCTCCTCCTAGCTCTTGCAGAGTTGTGCCATCTTGTATTTATTTCATTATATATCAACAATGTGTTGGAAGAAAAGAAACCGCTGTTCATAAGACCATATGCTTGGTTTGATGAAATCTGAAAACAGATTGTAGTTTACTGTTTTTCTGAGAATAAAATGCAACACAAGGAAGGTGCCAAAATGTATTCCCTTAAAACCTTGGGCTTGCAAGTTTGCCTTAACTACAAGAAAACAACTGATAAAACTCATTAGATGACAGATGACAGTACAATAAAAATTAACCTACTGTGAAAGGTGGGTCCCAACTCCATTACCCCTCACATATTTTGGAAGGTCTAAAATCAGATCTAGTACGGTTAGTCACCTAGCACTGGGTTCAGATTTCCACTCAGTCATAAGGCTTACTGTATAACCTTAGGGTTGCCACCATCTCTCCATCTCTAACTTTCCTCATGCGGTTGTTATGAAATTTTGTCAACTGTCTAAGAAATAATATAACTTCCAGAAAGTCACTGTTGACTAATGAATATTGCTAGAGAACAGTCCGTGAGATACTAGGCATGAACTTGTCCAAGCGAAAAACTTTACCTGCATCTAAGCATTCTGTACTGATGGAAATATGCTCTTTTGACAAGATGACCTTAGAGTGATCAGCTCAGCACTATTCCTTTTTTTAAATTAAGTACTGTACAGCCTTATATAAAAGCAGTAATGTGCTACTTTTATTGGTCCAGCAAAACAGTAACAAGAAAAAAGTAATCTTTTAAACGCTTCAGAACTCTTCATCAAACTGGCCATTATAAAACTGGGGGAGAAAAAGCAGAAAAGGTCAGAGTTTATCTTGGGACATATCACAGAAACTTTTGTTGCTTTAGCTCAAAAATGGAGATTGTCAGCTTGCAGAGTCAGTCAGGTAGAGATGTGGAGTTATCCTACTACATGGGGATCATGGCAGGAGCCTTCCTGAAGAATGTGTGGACTGTGAACACTTTCAGGCATCCCTTGGGCAACAAAACACCCAGCTGGCTTGCATCTAACATGAATGAAAAAGAGCAGAGACATCTCCAGAATGTAGAATTAATCAGCTTCAGACAAAAGGCTCACAGGCACGTCAGCTGAAGCACATGGCTGTAGTGCTGACATGGAGCTACAAATAGTAGTCCTTTTAGCCAAGCTGGAGCAGCCATTAAGGTGGGGTAATGGGCAGCTACCAGAAGCTGAATTATTGTATATCTTGTTCCTGCTTCTTCCCCAGGCCACCCTTCAGCCTGATGAAGAATTCTTAAGGGTCCTGAAAGCTTGCTTTCCTCATTTTTATTTATTTTATTTTGCATGGCCTAATAAAGGAATTACCCACCTCTGCTTTTTAAAAATTCTAATGACCGCATAGCTGGGTTTTGTTTTGGCTATAATGCTTCTCAGGACAGCAAGGTAAGACTTCAGTCATTTATTTTGTATCAAGAATGAGTCTTGGAACGCCTTAAACACAAACAGGTTTTATTTGGCATAAACATTTGTGGGATGTAGGCCATTTAATAAGATGCATGGGAATGAGAAGGTGGGCTGTAGTCCACAAACACTGACACCATGTAGAAATTGTTAGTCTTTAAGGTAGTGCAAGACCCTTTATGGTTTTCATTGTAGCAGACCAATATCGCTCCAAGTCCTGGAATGTTTGTTTATTAAAGTGGGGGAGAAGAAAATAGAGCACTAGTTCTCCATAATAAGAGAAAACCGTACGAACAACTCAGTACTTCAGGGTGTAAAACACTAGAATTAAGAGTTTTACTATTTGCTTCTCCTGCGCAGGAGCTTACAGTAAGCAAAACTACCTGGTTCACCCGTTCTGTTTTAAATTGATGCCTCACATTGAAGCAGGATGTGGAGCAGCTGCATGGGCTTCGGCCAATGCTGGAGGCTTTCTACAGCTGTCGACAGCCTCATCGACTTGCCATACGGGGATAAAGGAACTGCTGGAGATGTCCTAATCATTGCTAGAAATGTCACCAGCCAGCCAGTGCCACAATATCCAAGGATTCTCCTGGCCAGACAGCGATGCTGTTCTTAACTGAGGAGCAGTTCCAGTAGCTTCATTTTTGCCAAAAATGCACTTTCAGTAGCTTGGAAGTGTCCCAGCACTGGCTGGCTGGCAATGGAAGCCATGGCAGAGTTTTAAAATGGCACCAATGTGCATTTTTAAATACTGCACAAGGGCTTGCATCATGTGCAGCAACTGAAGTCGTGAATTTCCTTCAAATCTTCCTATATGTGCAATTGCAGCCCTAAAAAGTACTGCTGCTCTGCTTTCTGCTTCTATTTTCACAAGAACACGTTCTATTTATTTTTTTATTAGACTTCTACCCTACCCATCTAGACCAAAGGTCTACTCTGGGCACTTTACTTCTCTAATCTCTGCAAAAAGTCACATTTCCAAGTCCCATCTCGAAAATATGCTGTCAACTTGCCTTCATCTCCCAAGAAGTCTTCTTTGCTGACCACATCTCTACAAGTAGTGGTGGTTCCTGTGACAAAACCCTGACTTGCTGAGATCACCAAGCTACATTTCAGGATCTGTCTCGCCAATTTTTAAAAAGCTGAAATCACAGATACAAAGCATACAGCCTCACTTAGGTCTGAAATGACTTCCTCTGAGCTGCAGAACCTGCAATTTTAACCAAAGAATTTGGTCAATGTATTCCATTAAACTTTCATGGCTCACCGGCATCTTTTCAGGAAGGTCCAATTAAACTTACGAAAGGTAGCATTACCCAACCAGCTGTTGTCTTTGGGACTATTTTCTCTGCAAACTGGCAGCTTGCCCATCTACCCCATTTCTTTGATGCGTGGAAATAAGAGAATATATTTGACTCTTCTTCCTTTTGGACTTCATTCTTTCCCTTCTTTGAACCCTGAATTACTTACCTCCAGTCTCTATTCTTGCCGTGCAATAATGAGCAGGATATTAGAATCCTTTCACAGTCTTTGTAAGTTTACTCCTTTTAGTGTTTTCCTATTCTAAAGCAAATGTATTTAACATCTAATTATTTGCTGCAGGCACATATGGCTGGCTACTTAAAATATATGCTATTTTACAACACAGTTACAGTGCATATTTTGATTCTTATATTTTCCACAAACTTATCTTGAATTAGCTCCATGTGAAGGGAGTTCTGGGAACAATCTACCTAGATAAACTACTCATAATGTTCCTTCCTGTCACGAACACTCAGAATATGCATGAGTTAATACATGTGTCTTGAGAGCATAGCTGATGACACCAGGGGATGCTCATGTATGTCTGATGAATTAATCAATCTTTGTTAATTTGTAGTTGGTTATGCATTTGTATTTTTAAGTGCTACAAACGATTCCTGTCCAGAATCTTTGGAATTAGGCAGATGAAAAGCTAAAACTCACTCAAGAACAAATAATCGCATGTTCGTGTTTGAAATTCACCACAAAAGCCTGGGGCTATTAAAAGTAAACCACAACAAAAACTAGCATTTGGGCTGATTTTATAGCACTATTATGAAATAAAAGGAAAACACAAATCCAGAATAGTCACAGTTCTCTATGCCTATCTCAGCATTACAAAGCCTTTAAGCATCAACTACCCTGTTCATTTTTCTCATCAATTTCTCAAACTATCCAAACTGAACACCTTAAAAAGTGAAACGACAAATGTGGTAGTATGAGAACCATTCAAGTAAGTTTTTAATAGAGTGCACCAGTGAATGTGAATTAGGATGACTTGTGTCAAAAAATTATTTTTTTAAAAGGAATATCAGATAAAAAGGGGTACAGTTCTTTCTCGCCATAACACCATCCTTTTTTTCCTAAGGCAACAATACACGTTCATTTCAGAACAGAACTGTTACAGAAGAGAGAGCTACATCACAGTACAGTACAGCATGTCAAGTCCATCTGTCAGAAAGCCATTCTCAAATGGCACATTTAGCTACACTTACAGCCTCCTAACTTCGGGTTACAGAGTTTACCACAGTTTTTTTTTGTTTTTTTGTTTTGTTTTTAATAAAGTGACAATTTTGAATGACTTTTCTAATTTTTCACAGGAGTGTGCATATGGGGCCAATATGTTGAAGTTACAGTAATTACAACATTAAATAACATTGCACAACCAACCGCTATGATTAATTCAGTACAAAATAACAAATATTAAAATGTACCAAGTACTAGTGGTTTTACAGAATTTATATCACTAATTCTGGAGGATATTTTCTTCTTCCATAGGCAAATGCCTATACACAGCTGCACATTACAGGTGTAATGATATGGAATAAATACAAGAAGGTGGGCAAAATATTGAAAACGGACAAGATATATGGGAACAAAATTTGTACAAGCACATAAGTAAGATATTGTTTTAAACAGTTTATGCTTAGCCATAAAGTATATGAAACTGCATGTACTCTTTGGGGCAAAAATATTTTAAAAAACCAGTTAATTCCTGAGGCGGCATTAATTAGCTCTTACTATTGGTCAACATTGCAGAATACCTTGTGCTATGAAACAGTCTCAATACGAAGATTTTTGTTTTCCATAAAGTGGGATTTGTATCCTTTTGAAGGCAGCAAACAATATTTCACACCATGATGAATGAATATAAATTGTACTTCTAATCTGTTGGTACATTTGACCATAAGTCACAAGAGCAAGACTTAGGTTGGTAAATAAAATGTTATCAAGATGTGTCTTCTCTTCATCAATATGTTTTATTTCCAAGCAGCCAGAGTCAAAACACATTCAGAACTCTCTTTTCCTCACTGTAAGTGCCAACACTGTAAACACATTTGCATTTTTTCAACTAAACACTGTTCTGTAAAGGAGCATAAGAGTGAAAGGGAACAAGGAAGGATCCTGTGTACCACAAAAGCCAACCTATTTTTTACCTCATTCAATTTTAATATATGTTTTTTCCCAAAATAACTAAAATTGTTCATGCTACAGTTGTGAAAACAATTTTTTGTGCATTTCTACTATGGGCGCAGTTTTTAAAAAATGCTCAATAGTGGTAAGAATTATAAAAACCACAAAAATGTAAATAATGACCAGGAAGAATTTTTCAACTCAAAGCAAACACTTCTGTGCTGATGTCTAGACAACTATACACAAGGTTTGTATTTAAGCCTTCTTATTATACAACTCTATCAACATAAAACAAAAAGAATGCTCTGTATACTTACCTGTACATGTGAGCATAACTTCTTTAGCTACAGTTTTTTTGTCTTTTAAAGTAGGCCATACTGAATTAAATTTTACAATTCAGAATAACTATGTATAACCTTATTGCAAGAGGGGCAATTTCTACATGGGGAGTTCACAGGCCAATCATGTAAGGTACAACCAGTACATTCAAAATGTAAGCTTGAATCTTCCCTGATCCCTGAAACATCATTGCTCTTTACAGCTTAAGCTCATTTGCTATTTTAGATGCAATGTTTTTAAAGGCAATTGAAGTCCCAGATATTCTTTTGAAGCGGACTCCATTGAGCGATAGGCGTGGCAATTTACACACTTCCATCTCCCACTGGACAAGGCTATCCTGTCGTGCATCACCATGAACACAGAAAAGCAGGAATCTCTCTTTTTGTTCATAATCACAGTTGTTAGCATCTAACACTTTCCGAATCTCTCTCATCATATCATTTGGGTCCATGGAACTTGTGGTCTTCATACTCCAGGTGAACCTCAATGACCGTGGCTTAGAATCTTTTCCATCCTCTTTTTCTCTGTCTTTTGGTTCCCCAGAAGCGCTCCTGAAATGGAAGCAATATTGAAATAAACAAAGGAAATACACTTCAGTTAAGACAGACTTCAAAGCTATCCTTGTTTAGAACATGTGTTGCTAAATAGAGTAGCAAAAAGAGGCTTCTCAACTATCAACCAGTAGGCTTCCTTTAGAAGCTCACCATTTGGAGTTCACACGTTTCAGAGTCAATCAAGCAGAAGCCAAGGCATTTTTATTAAAAAAGTAGGGGCTGGGAGTAAAGGAGGCATTCTGTCATTCAACAAAAACATATCCACACTTCTTTATGAACAGAGTTAATTTTTCTGCTTTAAAGCTGAAGAACTGCAAATCAAGGGCAATAATTTTGGATGATTCTTTAAAAAATGGCTCCAGAAAAAAATGTCTCCATACGTGTAGTTTAAAAATTTGAATGCATCTTGCTTGTTCATCCTGTGAAATTTAATAAACAATATTTATCATAGTATTTTTTAAAAATTCTACACTGTGAGCAAAAATCTATGGTGGATATTCTCTTCCCTTATCAGACACCTCACTGCAAAGAATAGCACTTGCAGAAATCATGCCATCATACGTAGCAACTGTGTTTCCTCTCCAAATACAGTATGTCACACCTTCTGTGCAACATAGAATATCTTATCAGACACCTCACTGCAAAGAACAGCACTTGCAGAAATCATGCCATCATACATAGCAACCGTGTTTCCTCTCCAAATATGTCACACCTTCTGTGCAACATAGAATAGCTGTAAATTTGAATTAATAATCGACAGGGAATACATTACCAAGTAGTAAATGTCATTTTATAACCTTTGGACAGCATTTTCCCAAGACTGCTTTGAGTCATCATGGGAAAGGCAGGGATTGAGGTATTCCAGTTCTGTGCATGCTTACTCAGTATTTAGCTCCACTGAGCTTAAAAGGGCTTATTTCCAAGGAAGCTGCTATACAACAGTAGCCGTAATGAAGTATGTACATCACCCACAGAATTCCTTTCAGCCCCAATGTCACTGTCTGTTCTTGTTGAGCATTACTCAGTGTGCCTTAAGTATCAGAGGATTATCCTGAAATGGTATATATATCTGAATAAATCCTAGGATGTGAAGCCTCAACAAAAGGAGGATCACATAATTTACCGTTTATACAATAATACATCATATTTATATGGACCAGGGATGGGTTATTGTGGTTCTCCAGCTGAAATTGAAATATAGCTCCCAGGAACTCTACAAGTTCCTCTCGTAGCTAGGACAGCAAGTGATAAACATCATGGGAGTATCAATTTCATAACACTGTAAAACCACAATTTTTCCACTCCAAAGTGTAGATAATCTAGCCATGGGTTACCATGGTCCAGATTGAAAAGACCCATAAATCTGCCTGCTCTTTTGAAAGCAACCCCTGATATTTCACAACCTCCTGACAGGAAAAAATTCTGAACAGCGTAAATCCAGGGGACAGCATTAGGTGAGGAGCTGAAGATTTTCTGGAGGGTGACCATGCTGAGAAAAATCCTAATATGTTGCTTCAGAAATGTTTCTGGGAATTTAGGGATCTTTTTGCAGATTGTTGTGTATGATTAAGGGCAGGAAAAACAAAGTGTCATTTGCATTTAGCTTGCTATCTAGAAATTGTATGACCCTCCAAAGCATTCAAAAGGGCTTTCTTGCCATTGGTGGTGTGTGTATATCCACACATTTGCATCCTTGAGACTGGGTAGTGCTAATCTTTATCACATGCAAAGATTAAAGCAGGAATGACACATATCTATTGTTTGGTATTTTCCCACAAACTAGACGTGAGAACTTTTTTTTTGGTAGCCCCCTTTCATGGGCTTTGCTGCACAGAAGTGGCAGCAGCTTATGTGTACTAGAGAGAAGCATGGCGAGCTTATGGCTGTTCCAGGGCTTGAAAACCACAGAGCTTGTCAGCTCACTGCTACGATCAACAAGAAGTCTGTAGGCTAAATGCATGAAATCTCACTGACAACTGAGTACTAGAAGTAACAGAATTCCTTCAGATCAGGACTGGGGACCTTATGACTTTCCAGATGTTAGACTATAGTGATCATTCTCCTAAACCAATGAACAGATTGGATGAAGCTGATGGGAGCACTAGTCCAGCATAATTTCAATTTCTAGGACAATAAAACAGTGCCTGTGCAGGTTCTAAGAGCAGCTTCATGCACATATCCTTTATGTTCTACATGAAGTGGGACAACGGACCTGGCTCTGGGTCCCTATGGCCTACCTTACATAGAAACATAATTCTAATCACGCACATCTGTAGGACAGGGGGTTAAAACCCAAAGTACTCAGCCCTCATCCCCTTTCTGAGCAACAGATGGAGGGTGACAATTTATGATTGTGTGTGTGTGTGTGTGTGTGTGTGTGTGTGTGTGTGTGTGTGTGTGTGTGTGTGTGTGTGTGTGTGTGTGTGTGTGTGTGTGTGTGTGTGTGTGTGGGTGTGTGTGTGGGGNTGTGTGTGTGGGCAGAGGTTGCTCCCACATCCCCACAATGCATGACCTGAATTGAAGATACTTCCTGAAGGTCATTTTTAAAAGATGACATTGATCTACTTTATTTCTATACATACACATTAATAGGCATGTGATGTTTGGCCTACAAATCCCATAATTCTCCATGCTGGGAGTTCTACTTCACATACTGTACTGTATTCGTACCTGTAGACACTTAAATGTGTCTTGTTTGAAGAAAAGGTGTAGCCGAGAAGGTTTTAGAGAGACTTAGCACTGGATAGCTGTGGAGCTATTTCTTTCCTGTATAGGAAGTTAGGCCTATGTGAGGACTCTAAAGCCTTCCCAGCTAGGCCTTTTCTCCAGGTGAAGCACATTTAGCTGTCTGTAAGTGTAGTATGGGAAGTGAAACTCCCAGAACAGAGACTTATGGGATTTGTAGTCCAAAATAATCTGAAACTCTCATGCCTACCATTAACCCCAAAAGGAATTGCCTAAAAATTAGAAAATTGTTTAAAGATTAGAAAAAGCAGAGGGAGAACTTAATTATTTAGATTATTAGGTAATTAGGCCTGGTTCTCAGAATCATAATACATGATTTTACTATGGAAAGAAAAGTAACACTTAAATATTCAAACGCTATAAAGATATTTAAAGCTCTGATTTTGCAAACTCTTTGAAAGCAGCTCCCAAAGTTGAGAACTAATGTCTAAGAACCTGCAAACTCAGAGTGACTTACTGTTTTTTAAGTTACCTTAAATATTTGATAATGTTTAAAGGAAAAATAGGACACTTAACTCATACATAATATTTCTGAAAATACATGCTATGCAAAATTCCTCTGTATTACATAGTAATTTAAAGGCTTCTAGAATCATTAAATGGTGAACACAAAGGGACCTAAGAGCGAAGTATTAATAGTGGCTCCTCACCTTGAGGTGTCGGTTCTGCCACTGGCTTCGCCTTCACTTGGATCCCTCAAAACAAAGTTAAGGTCAAGATTTTAATAAATGAAGATTTTAAAAAATGAGTCAAGAAAACTTGTATCTAGAATAGAATTAAAATTACTGTTGAGCAGATATTCAGCATGAAATTGTCATTTACTGAGTTTTTATCAGTTTTCATACTACTTCCTACGAAACCCCAATTTATTTTTATCCTGGTCAGTAATTTCAGTTCCCCATCTTCCCCTTTTACATTATAGCCAGCTGAAATAACCATTTTCTAATATGCTCAAAAGCTAGAATAATGTATAAATATTCTGTTCTCCTTATCTGCCCCATATTTATGTGAACGGCACCACTGCAATCAATAACTACCCAACCCATATGGGAATCTACTTTATACTTAACAGTTTATTTCAACATAGCCTTAGTTCAGAATGAGCAACTCTGGAGGGTCTAAGGGCTGTTACCCCCTCAATCTGCTGTGGGCCACACCAGCTCCTTGTACAGTGGATATAAAAAGTTTACACCTCCGTTACAATGTCAAGTGTCTGTGATGTAAAAAAAATGAGACAAAGATAAATCATTTCAGAACTTTTTCCACCTTTAATAAGACCTCTGAACTGTACAACTCAGTTGAACAACAAACTGAAATCTTTTAGGTGAAGTAAAAATAAAAAACTGAAATAATATGGTTGCATCTGCGCACACACTCTTAAACTAATACTTTGTCAAAGCACCTTTTGATTTTATTACAGCATTCAGCCTTTTTGGGTATGAGTCTATCAGTACGGCACATCTTGACTTGGCACTATTTGCCCACTCTTCTTTGCAAAAATGCTCCAAATCTGCCCGATTGCAAGGGCATCTCCTGTGCACAGCCCTCTTCAGATCACCCCACAGATATTCAATCGGATTCAAGTCTGGACTCTGGCTGGGCCATTCCAAAACGTTAATTTTCTTCTGGTGAAGCCATTCCTTTGTTGATTTGGATGTATGCTTTGGGTCGTTGTCATGCTGAAAGATGACATTCTTCCTCATGTTCAGCTTTCTAGCAGAAGCCTGAAGGATTTGTGCCAATATTGACTGGTATTTGGAACTGTTCACAATTCCTTCTAGCTTGACTAAAGTCCCTGTCCCAGCTGAAGAAAAATAGCACCAAAGCATGATGCTGCCACCACCGTGCTTCACTGTGGGTATGGTGTTCTTTTCGTGATGTGCAGTGTTGTTTTTGCGCCAAACGTATATTTTGGAATTAGGGTCTGGTTTCATCAGACCATAACACTTTTTCCCACAAGCTTTTAGGAGACTTCAGATGTGTTTTTTTCAAAATTTAGCCGGGTTTGAATGTTTTTCTTCGTAAAAAAAGGCTTCCGTCTTGCCAGTCTACTCCATAGCCCAGACATATGAAGAGTACGGGAGATTGTTGTCACATGTACCATGTTTCCCCAAAAATAAGACAACGTCTTATATTAATTTTTGCTCCAAAAATGCATTAGGGCTTATTTTCAGGGGATGTTTTATTTTTTTCCATGTACAACTAACTACATTTATTCAAATGCAGTCATGTCATCTTCCTCTGGCAGCTGCACAATGGTGAAGGGCGGGGTTTCACTTAACTGGGGCTTATTTTGGGGGTAGAGGTTATATTACGAGCATCTTGAAAAAATCAAACTAGGGCTTATTTTCAGGTTAGGTCTTATTTTCAGGGAAACAGGGTACCACATAGCCAGTACTTGCCAGATATTCCTGCAGCTCCTTTAATGTTGCTGTAGGCCTCTTGGCAGCCTCCCTGACAATTTTCTTTTCATCAATTTTGCAGGGACGTCCAGTTCTTGGTGATGTCACTGTTGTGCCATACAGTGGTGCCTTGCTTAACGATTGCCTCGCTTAACGAGGAAATCGCTGTACGATTAGGTTTTGTGATCGCAAAACGATGGTTTAAATGGGGTTTTTTCGTTTAAAGATGATCGGTTCCCTGCTTCGGGAACCGATTTTTGCTTTATGACAGCAAACAGCTGATTGTCGGGTTTCAAAATGGCCACCGACTGAAGAAAATGGCTCCCCGCTGTTTCTAGGATTGATTCCTTGCTTTAAAGGCACCGAAAATGGCCGCCGTATGGAGGATCTTCACTGGACAAGCAGGTATTCAGTCCATTGGAACACATTGAACGATTTTCAATGCGTTTCAATGGTTTTTTTTATTTTGTTTGACGAAGTTTTCACTCTACAGCGATTTCGCTGGAATGAATTAACATCGTCAAGTGAGGCACCACTGTATTTTCTCCACTTGATGATGATTGTCTTCACTGTGTTCCATGGTATATCTAATGTCTTGGAAATGCTTTTGTACCCTTCTCCTGACTGATACTTTTTAACAATGAGATCCCTCTGATGTTCTGGAAGCTCTCTGTGGACCATGGCTTCTGCTGTACGATGTGACTAAGAAAATATCAGGAAAGACCTACTAGCACAGCTGATCTTTATTTGGGATTCCTCAGAGGCACTTTAAATGATGGCAGGGGTATAATGACTCCTACTTAACATGAATTTGAATGTGACTGTTTACTCCTGAACACAGTTACATCCCCAGTTATAAGAGGGTGTGCACTGAGTTGTACAGTTCAGAGGTCTAATAAAAGGTGGAAAAAGTTCTGAAATGATTTACCTTTGTCTCATTTTTTTACATCACAAACACTTGACATTTTAACAGGGGTGTGTAAACTTTTTATATCCACTGTAGGTCACTTCCCATTTTTCAATAACTGTTCTGCTAAAGCAAGGAGTGGAGGCTTGTTTTAGAGGAGAAACAAATCCTGGAAGTTTCCGGAGGTGCAGCTCCCCAGGTTTTTGCTAAAACACGTTGTGGCATGTAATGCAGGCGCTGGAGGTGCCAAAAACAGCTCCTGAGGCTGCACATGGCCTTTGTGATCTTCACTAGTGCCTTAAATCATAGTGGCATAGCTGATCTGGCAATTATATACATATCATTTTCTGTGAATTCAGGCCTTTAGATGCACTTAAAAATGGCACATTAGCTTTCCCAAATTTACTAGCTCCTGATTAAGATACCAATTTTTAAGATTACTGACAGAATAAGCAACTTGAGAAGAAGTAAGTCTTGGGGTTCAGAAACGACAAGCCTAACAATCCCTTGTTAAATTTGATCTGATCAACAGTCTTGTCAAGTAGGTGATAAACATTTTCCAAAGAATTATAAAACATTTGAGGGGAATGCCTGTATACTGCACAGTACCAGCAAATTGTTATGCATCAAGAATTTTAAAATATACATCAAATACAACATTTGTATTAATTCAGTAAATTCAGTTGTAGATGACAACATATCTATGAACCTTTTGTACTGAATGATGCATCTTAGTTTCTGCAAGACATATTTAGACAAGGCTTACATAGGCCAGGAAGTATTATATCCAACTATATAAGAACACTACTGCCTGTCTGAATCAAAGTTGCAAAGTTTGTGACCAACCAAGCCAAATACAGAAGCTCAATGACAAGTGATATGGGAACTGTGTGCCATTCTGGAAATCAGTCAGTCTATCCCTCTCCTTCTCAAAGGAGACTTCCAGGTCAATTTGGATGGTATCCAGATGGTATGCAGATACCCCTAAGCCCTCCCCCTTGAATGATCAATAGTCCACAGGAAATCCACAGGGCCTACTTGTTCTCAACTGTATGGAATTGCTATGGAATAGCAATTTGCTTAACAGTTGCCTCGCTTCTTACTTCTGCTGTTGGCAGCCACATTCAGTGGACTATTAAGGCAAAGAGTTCTTTTGTTGCTGGGATGAAAATCCAAGTTACTGAAGAATATATATACCTCTCTATGTGAACATGTGTGCATGCATGCATGTGCATGCACTCTATTCAGAATGGTCATGCTTGTGTCTTGTGAGTACTTTACACTTGTGAGCAATTGATGCCTGCAAGACCTGTATTTAAAAGCCAGGAACAGAAATCATAGCATGATTGTTTGAAATCTACTGTCTCCACCATCTGTGTCTTCTGGCAAGAAACCCATGGGCTCCAGGTTGCTGCTGAAACCAGAATCGGGCTTTATTAGAATTTAACTTAGGCTTTATAACACTGCTGATGCCTGCTGTCTTGGAAGTTAGAGCTTTGGGACAATAACTATCCTGTCAGTCCTAACCCCAGGTAGACTCATTGCGGTTACCTGTCTCCCTGTTCAGGGAAGCAGGATGGGAGCAGAAGTCCAGCAGTCTGTCGCAGTCCCATTCCTCTATGGCTTCCACTCTGGTTTCTTCCTCCCCTGAGGTTTCCTTACCTGCTGCCACTGCCTCTGAAGACGCAGATCTCTCCTCCTCTGTCTTGGTGGCCTACTCTTCCTTCCCACATCCTATTATATCCCTGAGGCTCCTCATCCTCCAACTACTCCAGGTGCTCCCCTAGCTGTGCCCTATTACCCGGCTCACTGGCAGAATCCTGTCCTCCCTTTTCTATGTCTTTCTGGGGCCCAGGAGCTGCTGCCCTTGCTTGGCCCTCAAAACGGCACAGGGTGAGGCAGACAGCCTACTAGAGACGCTGGCAGGAACCCCTTCACAGTTGTCACAGCATGGGTATTGATCGTAACTTACTTTTGTAGTCTTGGGCAGGGACAAAAAGGTATAGTAATGTTTTTAATGATTCAGTGGCTATAACCCATAGATTCAGCTTGGTGGGTTCCAAACTATGCTTGTCTGTTCTACATAAAATGTTGCATATAAAATCAGAATTTTGAAAAATAACAATAGAACATAAATTTTTATGTGACATTAAAAACATAATTATGGCAGATTGCATATAGCATTGTAATATGCTTTGTTGCGTTATTTTAAAAGAAGTAGACCAGATTCCACCCCATGTTTGCTCACTGTATAACTTTTTCAATAATTAAACAAATGTACTTCTCAACCTACTGTATATTGGCTGTGGCAGGGGGTGGGAAGTAACAAATGTGATAACAGTGATCTGAAAGTTTAGATGTAGTTATTATATGACACAAACAAGACATGTCAGTTTTCCAAGTGCCTACATATCAGAGAAGATTTGTAGGGTGAAGCCTGATATGCTGCCAAGTGGCTTCTCAAACTGAGCATGAAAAGAATTTCAGAACCGTGAACTGCCTTTTAAGAAATCTATCACAGCCAAGGTCCCTAGGAAAACAAAACTAGTGGCAGACCTCCCACTGATGTTTGTAAGCATAACCACTATACAGGTTTCAACATAAACTTAATACCTGTGTTTCAAAATGGCAATTATTACCTGATGAAGATGGTAGTGAATTAAAAACTTGATATAAGGTTCTTAAGAAATGTGTTGGGAAAAGTAGGCAAATGTTGAAAGTTGAATTCGAAGAAGATTGATTCACAGTTTTACTCCCAGCAGTCTCTGTATCACTATACAAGTGATTTCAACCTGACTGAACAAATCCATTTATGTTTGAATTATGTTCTCACAGGAATCGAAATTCTTTAGGATTAGAAACAGGAAACAAGTGGCTTCACAGATCCTGCGACTCCCTAGTGAGCACGACAAATAGTGAGAAACGACAGGAGCTGAACATCTGAAAGGACTATTCCTGTCACTGAATTACTACTGGACTACCTCTGAAGCTTCCTATTCCTGTTCTGGATGGTGTCTGCATGTTGCAAAAGTCATCAGCTTAGATGAGGCATTCCCTCTTATGTTAGAGAATGACAGAATGTCTCTTCTGTGATGGTGCCTGGATCTGAAATCTCTCGTATTTTTCTCAAAGTGTTTTAATTATAGATGGGCATGAATCACCGGTTCGGTGGTTTGTCCTTCAGACTAACATGTGTTCGTCAGTTCCCAGCCCCACCTCTTCCAGTGGGCACTCATTCAGAGGCAGTGCTTGGAGGAGGCAGGGCAGGGAAGCCAGGATGCTGTCCCTGAGTGGGTGGCTGCTGGAGGAGGCGGGGCTGGGAACAGTTGAGACCTGTTCATCAGAAGGACAAAACCACAAGAACTGCCACACCAACAGTTCGTGCCCATCTTTACCTTTATTGTCAGTTTTAAATGTATTACCTGATAATCTTGTTACTTCGCTAAACTGGTTAAATAATTGACTAAGCATTGGAGCTATAACAAGTAAACGAGGGAATCTGTGCCATATGGGTCTAGTTTTGTAATCATGCATATATGATTTTTGAAAAGCAGATGGAAACGTAGGGGGTCTATGCAGACTCCACTACGGAACAAGAATGTGTATGCTGCTGCTGACTTTAAATCAGTCACTTCCATGCAGCTCCCCTATTCTTGTTAGTTTAAATAAGAGTCATTAACAATCAAAGTAAATGCTACTCTATGCAAGTTGCAATAGGCTGGAAAGTTACTTTTTGGAATTCTTGGAATTCCACAGCTAGCATGAACATGGAAATTCTCAGAGTTCTACTTCAAAGTACTATTTTTTCTGCCTGAGGAAGTATGAACAGAAGACATTTGTGAAAAAGGATTATCCCTACATTGTACCACTGTACCCTAATGTATAGCGCTTTATCTTTCGCAACCATTAGATTTTTTTTAAAAAGAATGATTTTAAAAAAAATTGGGCTTCCTTCAGACTACCAGAATATCTTACACTAGTATGATGTCCATGTGAGAAACTGTACCTATTCTGTCACATGTACAGAGACAGCTAAGGTTTATTTTGACATATGTATACACACTAGGAAACCCAGAATAGCAGAAGGTTCCTGCAATTTACATGTGGTAAAACAGATTCGAATGTATGCTCCTAACAAAAGGATGTAGCTTTTTCCACAGAAGTGAAACCCATGCTGCGAATTTGCTGTGTTAGAAACAATCGTACAAGGATGGACGCACCACAACCCTCGGATTGCAAACACTATTAGGACTAGCTTGCATGACCAGTGTTGAGGGATGATGGGAACTGAAGTCCAGCAGCATTGGGAGGGATGTTTATTCTCCATCCCAGATTTAGAATTAGAAATGCCAGCATACCTATCAATATTTTCATAGATGTGTCAAAGATAAAAGACCAGTCCTATCTATCTCATGTTCATACGAACATTGCAATTTATTCAAGACAGTTTACATTTTTCAAATGATGGCACCAAGACCACCAAGCACTATGATCCAACTTGATTACATGTAATCTTACACAGGGCTCTGAAGCAGTCATGCAACCAGGGACTAATCAGGGAGAGATTAGTTTGAACAATGCAGCTTATTATTTCACCTTCCACGTACTTGGAAATTAAAACAATGGGTTGTACTAACCTGCGAACAAATTTAGAAGTTATTTTGCTTATAATGCCGGTTGATGTCCCCCTTCTAGTTTGAGCAAACGTGCCTGTTTCATGCGATGGTGATGCCGGTGGCCCATTGTAAGTGGCATTGCGCCGCTCCCGTAGCTGCTCACCATGGAAAGTGCTTCGGCTTGAACTCCCCCGAGGAAAGCGGGTTCTGTCTGGAGTGGTAGCGCTAATACTGTGAGCAGATGGGGAAGCAGCAGGTGCTCTTTGAGTTGCACTGCTGGAAAGACAGACAAACAGTTGACCTGAGATAAAACAATCTGTCACTATAATGAGTATTTCTCAAAGTTCATGCTCCTTCTGGTCAGATGTTGGGCATGGCAGTCCATTTGTATAACCTTACTGTATGATCTTATGGAAATGTGGATTCTGCACTGCCAAAGTCTACAAAGAGATAGAGAGCAACAGAATCCTATACACTGAAAGCATTTACAGGAAGAACAAAAGCCTGATAATGAATTTCTTTTTTTTTTTATCTTACATTGCTCAGCTAGGGTCCTTGCTTTGTGCAGATTTTTATTTGGAATTTTTCTTCCCAACAGGAAAGTGAAAAAAGAATAGAGGTGGAAAGGATGACAAAGAGAGAATTGTGAAAATAAAGCTGGAAGTCATGCAGTAAAATGCAATAAAGGGGAAAAAAAGAAAAAGGGAATAGGAATCGTTTTCCTTGTATCCCTAACTTATCCTCTTCTTGCTGACTGGTCTGCACCCTTCTCTCAGCTATCTTACCTCTGGCTCTTGGGGCCTCTTTTCAATCTGACTGTAGAATTCCATTCCTGTCTCTCCAGCCAATATGAAGTGTTTATCAGCCAACTCTTTGCCTCACAGAAGATAGGCCGCAAAACAATCTGAGACCTTTGTTCCCTGAGCAGTTACAATATTTGTCAACATTTCAACATTATTGCAGCAGCTCAGCCAGTGTTAAGATACTTGAACATCTCTCTCAAACTCTATACCACACAGATTGTCAGAGGCCAATAGCATACAAACACTGTGTCCCTTGTAATTAACATAACTGTGCATGTTGGTATAATATCTAGCCCAGCAAGAACCGTACAAATGCTACAACTTACATACCTTGGTCGATAAGCTTCGGTGCCATCTTTGATAGTTGGCAGTGTAACTTTTATAGGGTGACCCGAGGCAGACATGGACTTTTGGTGTCGCGGCCGTGTTGATATTGCAGAGCTGACAGCAGAGCCGGCAGAAGAAGTACTGCTCACAGACATTTCTGTCAGACTTTTTATCATAAGAAGGCAGGCGTCAAAAGGAATATTTTACGATGACACAATCTAATAAAATACTTCCATGTAAAGCTTTGAAACCAATGTTACATAACTTTGTTCTAACATTAAGACAGGAGCACGGCCAACGTCCACTGCTGTTTTATACTGCTTATGTTAGGTTATGGACACATATTTTCAGCATGTAAAGATTTTTTATCCACAGAAGAAGCTTACTGAATGATGTTTTTCAATGGCTATACTCTTCCCAGCCTTGTTTAGATGTAGACAACAGAAAATATATGACATTTATAGATTTTCAAGGGAAAACTGATGGCAAGAAAAGAGCGCAGGTATTCCTAAACCCTTATACTGAGAGGCATTTAGACCGCCAACCAATAATTGTAGGCAATGTAGAGAATATGGAGCATCTTAGAGGTGAGTGAATAACCTGGGCTTTTGCCCTGGCCACCAAGTTGGAAAGGACACTGTGCCAACTTGGTTATTCCACTTTTGTCCAAAGTTCTGTATATAATGAGCTAGACAGTGGGGATCACTAAATGTCTTGCTCATTGTTTTTAAAGTTGTATTAACTGCTTTTGTATCAACTTCAATTTTTCTTTTTAAAATGTTAGGTAAAAAATCAGCAGCACATAGTTTCACATTTAGGCAGCATGACCAAGTACAACTAATATCCTAAATCCTATTACAAATAATATAAAAGAAATCTGTAAGCTGACCAGGGCAGTGGTACTGAGACATTGTCTGGGCACTATTTACCTTAGGCCAGCTTTGCTACGGAAAATAATTACTGTACTCCAATCAAGGGGAGTAATCTCCCACCAAATCTCATCAATTTGCATAAATGAATTTAAACAACACCTGAGATCTACTTCCTTGGTCAGCCTTGGTAAATGTTTCATACTCATCAGCCCAGCTAGTCTTGATGAATTAGCACTACCATTATGTTCCATTAAGAAAAGATGCTGTTGTCATTATAAGTAAATTCAGTAGTAATTTCATAGTGTGTGGGGGGGGGTGATAAAGCCAAAACATGTATTTCAGTGCAAATGCATCAACTCACCAAGAACACAGTTAGCAACTTTTTATCAGGCAAAACCTTTCTACTGACTGTCATTTTTAAAGCAGAGAAAATATTATTTCTACTTGGTGCTTTTCAGCATACCTGATGTAATGCCAAGATAGCGATTCTTCCCTGCAAAATTATTTATTTCCAAAACCTGAGAAACAGTTGAGACTGAGGCAGGCCAAAGGATATAATTGGAACATGGGATCTTTATTTAACTTCAGGTGGCACTGTATTATTTGGGCTATGCTATATAGGGAGAATACTGTAATAGAGTGACCTAAACAAGACAGAGGACCATGGAAGTTCAGGCATGTCCAACCTTCTTTTCTTTTAATTTTTTTTATTAATACAAAATAAACCTACTACTACACAAAAAAACCCTATATAAAATACAAAACAATACAATACAACAAAATACAATTACCCATGTGCTCCCATCACCTTCAGGACTAGTATTACAATTCGTTCCATCCATTTTCACTCCAAAATTTCATTGTTTCTTCCCTCGGTGTAAACCCCCTCCCTCTCCGAAATACATGTTCCAAAAATACATTCCATATTTTCTTAAAATCATTATTTTTCATTTGGCCTCTACTTATACTTATACTACGGGGTATAAATACAATAAATAAATAAAATAAAAAATATTTTCATATGTCAGTTTATCATTAATTGCCATGTCCCATAATTCTCTATACCATTCCTTCAAGTTAAAATGATTATCATTTCTCCAGTTTCTTGCAAAAATTATCCTTGCTGCCGTAATCATTATTACTATTAAATCCTTATTTTCTTTCACTAATTGAGACACTCATTAGGCCCATTAGGAAGAAACCCAGTTTGGCGGCGGACAAAATTGGCACCTATAGGCCCGTCGTCAATGTTTTTTTCTTAAGCAAGGTGGTCGAGAGGGTGGTGGCCAACCAGCTCCAGGCGCACTTGGATGAAACAGATGCCCTGGATCCATTTCAGTTGGGCTTCAGGCCGCACCATGGTACAGAAACTGCATTGGTCGCCCTGTGTGATGACCTGTTGAGGGAGGCTGACAGGGGCAAAGTGTCTCTGCTGGTCCTCCTCAACATCTCAGCGGCCTTTGATACTGTTGGCCACAGTATCCTCCTGGGGAGGCTCTCCGAGCTGGAAATTGGTGGCCTGGCACTGGCCTGGCTCCGTTCCTTCTTGGAGGACCGTCCCCAGAGAGTACAGCTTGGGGAGAGTGTTTCGGCCCCATGGAGTCTCAATTGTGGGGTTCCACAGGGGTTGATTATCTCCCCAATGCTGTTCAACATCTATATGAGTCCGCTAAGTGGGGTCATCAGGGGGTGTGGAGCATTGTGTCATCAGTACGCTGATGACACTCTGCTCTACATCTCCTTTTCACCAACCGCAGGAGATGCCGTTCTGTCCCTT